TACAAGGTTGTTAACTCTAGTGTACAAGGTTGTTAACTCCAGTGTACAGGGTTGCTAACTCAAGTGTACAAGGTTGTAAATTCTAGTGTACAGGGTTGTTAACTCCAGTGTACAAGGTTGTTAACTCTAGTGTACAAGGTTGTTCAATCCAGTTTACAAGGTTGTTAACTCCAGTGTACAAGGTTGTTAACTCCAGTGTACAAGGTTGTTAACTCTAGTGTACAAGGTTGTTAACTCTAGCGTACAAGGTTGTTAAATCCAGTTTACAAGGTTGTTAACTCCAGTGTACAAGGTTGTTAACTCCAGTGTACAAGGTTGTTAACTCCAGTGTACAAGGTTGTTAATTCTAATGTACAAGGTTGTTAAATCCAGTATACAAGGTTGTTAACTCTAGTGTACAAGGTTGTTAACTCTAGTGTACAATGTTTCTAACCCCATTGTCAAAGGTTGTTAACTCTAGTGTAAAAGGTTGTTAACTCCAGTGTACAAAGTTGTTAACTCCTGTGTTCAAAATTGTTAACTCTAGTGGACAAATTTGTTAACTACAGTGTACAAGGTTGTTAACTCTAGTGTACAAATCTTTTAACTCTAGTATCCAAGGTTGTTAACTCCAGTGTACAAGGTTGTTAACTCTAATGTCAAAGTTGTTAACTCAAGTGTACAAGGTTGTTAACTCCAGTATACAAAGTTGTTAACTCCAGTATACAACGTTTTAAACTCCAGTGTACAGGGTTGTTAAATCCAGTATACAAGGTTGCTAACTCCGGTATAAAAAGTTGTTAACTCAAGTATACAAGGTTGTTAACTCCAGTTTACAAGGTTGTTAACTCTTGTGTATAAGGTTGTTAACTCTAGTGTACAAAATTAATAACTACAGTGTACACGGCTGTTAACTCTAGTGTACAAAGCTTTTAACTCTTGTGTCCAAGGTTGTTAACTCCAGTGTACAAGGTTGTTAACTCCATTGTACAAGGCTGTTAACTCCAGTGTACAAGGCTGTTAATTCTAATGTACAAGGTTGTTATCTCCAGTGTACAAGTCTGTTAATTCTAATGTACAAGGTTGTTAACTCCAATGTACAAGGTTGTTAACTCCAGTGTACAAGGCTGTTAATTCTAATGTCCAAGGTTGTTAACTCCAGTGTGCAAGGTTGTTAACTCCAGTGTACAAGGTTGTAAACTCTAGTGTACAAGGTTGTTAACTCCAGTTTACAAGGCTGTTAATTCTAATGTAAAAGGTTGTTAATTCTAATGTACAAGGTTGTTAACTCCAGTGTGCAAGGTTGTTAACTCCAGTGTACAAGGTTGTAAACTCTAGTGTACAACGTTGTTAACTCATGTGTGCAAGGTTATTAACTCCAGTTTACAAGGCTGTTAATTCTAATGTACAAGGTTGTTAATTCTAATGTACAAGGTTGTTAACTCCAGTATACAAGGTTGTTAACTCCAGTATACAAAGTTGTTAACTCCAGTATACAACGTTTTAAACTCCAGTGTACAAGGTTGTTAACTCCAGTATACAAGGTTGTAAACTCTAGCGTACAAGGTTGTTAACTCTAGTGTATAAAGTTGTTGTTTACTCCAGTATACAAGGTTGTTAACTCTAGTGTACAAGGTTGTTAACTTCAGTGTACAGGGTTGCTAACTCAAGTGTACAAGGTTGTAAACTCTAGTTTACAGGGTTGTTAATTCCAGTGTACAAGGTTGTTAACTCCAGTATACAAGGTTGTAAACTCTAGCGTACAAGGTTCTTAACTCTAGTGTATAAAGTTGTTGTTTACTCCAGTATACAAGGTTGTTAACTCTAGTGTATATAGTTGTTGTTTACTCCAGTATACAAGGTTGTCAACTCTAGTGTACAAGGTTGTTAAATCCAGTTTACAAGGTTGTTAACTGGAGTTAACAACCTTGTAAACTGGAGTTAACAACCTTGTACATAAGAATTAACAACCTTGTACACTGGAGTGAACAACCCTGTACACTAGAGTTTACAACCTTGTACACTGGAGTTAATTCTAATGTACAAGGTTGTTAAATCCAGTATACAAGGTTGTTAAATCTAGTGTACAAGGTTGTTAACTCTAGTGTACAAAGTTTCTAACCCCATTGTCAAAGGTTGTTAACTCTAGCGTAAAAGGTTGTTAACTCCAGTGTACAAGGTTGTTAACTCCTGTGTACAAGGTTGTTAACTCTAGTGTACAAGGGTTGTTGTTTACTCCAGTATACAAGGTTGTTAACTCTAGTGTACAAATTTTCTAACCCCATTGTCAAAGGTTGTTAACTCTAGCGTACAAGGTTGTTAACTCTAGTGTACAAATTTTCTAACCCCATTGTCAAAGGTTGTTAACTCATGTACAAGGTTGTTAAATCCAGTATACAAGGTTGTAAAATCTAGTGTACAAGGTTGTTAACTCTAGTGTACAAAGTTTCTAACGCCATTGTCAAAGGTTGTTAACTCTAGCGTAAAAGGTTGTTACCTCCAGTGTACAAGGTTGTTAACTCCTGTGTATAAGGTTGTTAACTCTAGTGTACAAGGTTTTAAACTCTAGTGTACAAGGTTGTTAACTCCAGTATACAAGGTTGTTAACTCTAGTGTACAAATTTTCTAACCCCATTGTCAAAGGTTGTTAACTCATGTACAAGGTTGTTAAATCCAGTATACAAGGTTGTTAAATCTAGTGTGCAAGGTTGTTAACTCTAGTGTACAAAGTTTCTAATCCCATTGTCAAAGGTTGTTAACTCTAGCGTACAAGGTTGTTAACTCCAGTGTACAAGGTTGTTAATTCTAATGTACAAGGTTGTTAAATCCAGTATACAAGGTTGTTAACTCTAGTGTACAAGGGTTGTTGTTTACTCCAGTATACAAGGTTGTTAACTCTAGTGTACAAGGGTTGTTGTTTACTCCAGTATACAAGGTTGTTAACTCTAGTGTACAAGGGTTGTTGTTTACTCCAGTATACAAGGTTGTTAACTCTAGTGTACAAAGTTTCTAATCCCATTGTCAAAGGTTGTTAACTCTAGCGTACAAGGTTGTTAACTCCAGTGTACAAGGTTGTTAATTCTAATGTACAAGGTTGTTAAATCCAGTATACAAGGTTGTTAACTCTAGTGTACAAATTTTCTAACCCCATTGTCAAAGGTTGTTAACTCATGTACAAGGTTGTTAAATCCAGTATACAAGGTTGTTAAATCTAGTGTACAAGGGTGTTAACTCTAGTGTACAAGGTTGTTATCTCACGTGTACAAGGTTGTTAACTCCGGTATACAAGGTTGTAAACTCTAGTGTACAAAGTTGTTAACTCCATTGTACATTGTTGTTAACTCCAGTTTACAAGGTTGTTAACTCTTGTGTATAAAGGTTGTCAACTCTAGTGTACAAAATTAATAACTACAGTGTACAAGGTTGTTACCTCTAGCGTACAAGGTTGTTAACTCTAGTGTACAAGGTTGTAAACTCTAGTGTACAAGATTGTAAACTCTAGCGTACAAGGTTGTTAACTCCAGTGTACAAGGTTGTAAACTCTAGTGTACAAGGTTGTTAACTCTAGTGTACAAGGTTGTTAACTCCAGTGTCCAAGGTTGTAAACTCTAGTGTACAAGGCTGTTAACTCCAGTGTACAAGGCTGTTAACTCCATTGTACAAGGCTGTTAACTCCATTGTACAAGGTTGTAAACTCTAGTGTACAAGGTTGTTAACTCCATTTTTCAAGGTTGTAAACTCTAGTGTACAAGGTTGTAAACTCTAGTGTACAAGATTGTAAACTCTAGCGTACAAGGTTGTTAACTCCAGTGTACAAGGTTGTTAACTCCTGTGTCCAAGGTTGTTAACTCTAGTGTACAAGGTTGTTAACTCCATTTTACAAGGTTGTTAACTCCATTTTACAAGGCTGTTAACTCCATTGTACAAGGTTGTTAACTCCATTGTACAAGGCTGTTAACTCCATTGGAAAAGCCCTAAGTTGAGTGTTCTTGTTTACTTCATCGCTTTGTTTGCTGAGAAATTTAGTTTGCGTTTACTCCAACTATGTCTGACAGAAATTGTTAATTAGTTTTAAACGTTTCTTAAAGATACGAAATTTCGATGAACGAATGTTCACCAGCAAAGACATCTATTTAACTTGATTGGCTGATATCAGAAGTATTAAAAAGCAAACAATTGATGATGCGTAAAATATTTTTATGTTTTGCCCGTTTCATACGTTCAGCGAAAGAAAAGACGCTTATTACAAGATATGGTTGAAATGACGTCACTGCAACGGTCGTTTATTGAAAATGCCATTCTATTTGTATGACTCTGTGACCAAACCTACATTTATGAACAAAGGTTTATGAGAATGGGAAAAAATCGTGATGAGAACCGTCATGAAGGTATTTTTTTTTCTCTGGCTCCGCTCGCTTTGCGTCACCAATGATAATACAATTTCCGACAGTATAATCCTGATAGACTTTTGACGTATCCTCAGAAAACAACGGCTTTTCTCTGAATACTTAAAGATTAAATATAATTCGCAAAAGTAAACGCATATAAATAGAAATAATACGTCCACGAGGGGGTGCCGTACCTGACACTCACAAACAACTCCGTAAACGGCTTATGCCTAAGTATTTGCAAAACAGTCTATTTCATGCGCCACAGTCAGTCTTACTGTGGTTCCAGAAATCATAGTTGCCCTGTTGTATAAATGCAAAAATCCGAACCGGAGAAGGAAGAAAGATATCAAATTTCGGTCATAGCATTTATTTGTGAGAGCAAGGAACGATAATTCTGTGTAGAAATTGCAAAGCATAGCATGTTTCTGTTATAAGGGAGATAACTCCAAGAAAATGTAAGGTACGAATAGAAATCTGTCCGGTGTATAACTCGGAATTCACTGTTAAAAGATGGTTTGTACATATCCATATAAATAAAATTTAAGTACTAAAAGGTTTTTTTTTACTGCTTTTCTACGCTTTTCAAAACATTCAGTTTAATCACTTTTTTATGAAGATGAAAAAAAAAAATATGGGTAAAATGGTTCAGACATTTATATATTCTTTCCTCTTCTTATGTATTTATTCCTTTCATCCTTTTGTCGCCTCATACAATCTATAACTATCTTCAACGGCAACCAAATGTTAACTTCTCTACTGTTAATCGGTAATGAGGTGAACACGGTTACCGAGATGGTTAATTCTCCTTATTAAAAGGCTGTTCGAACCTGTTTTACAACATACGTTCCTCGGGTTTTCAGTTAGACAGATAATATAGCAACGATGATTTTAGAATAACAGGAAACCTTCAAACGAGAATTGTATGATGACGAAAGACAGATTTAAAATAATCTAAATGTGTTTGATAACTTCCTGAATGAGTTAGTTAAGTTTGTGGATAATATCAGATATCTTTTATATCAATGAATGCATATAATGAATGGAGCAATTAATGCAATGTTATATCATTGAAAACACAAATACACGGACTTCAAATAAATTACATTTCTTTCTTTTATATTCATCTGCTGTCAGGGTGACGAGGATGAAGAAGCTGATGACGAACAAAAAGTGGCAATGTTGAAAAATGAAAACGATAATCAATATCCTGAAAATACTAAAGAACCGCTTGTTGAGGACGATGAAAGTAAAAGGGTTCCAAGTGGCAAAATTGAAAGAAAACGTCAAGTTCCGAAAGATGCATTGGGAAGAAAAAAGAGAGAGAAAAACATAACTAACCCCTAGGAACAGAAACCAAAGACGACAGCTACAACAAGCGACAAACAAGCGACAATGGAAGAACCCGGATGAAGGACTATCGTTTGTCGTCAGACGTTTTACGTTATCATCATTATATATTTACATTTGCATGGCATTGTCACTATATAGTCTATTTGGAAGCTGTGTCGTTGATGGGACTTTAAATACCATGCACCACGAGACATAATTATCAGCGTATTTTAAAATACAACACCGACCGGAACTACAATACAATATTTTTGTATTACAACCAAAAAACAGACCAAGGTCTGTAATATCGTACAAAATGCTCATCGCCCGGGTGAAATAACCAATGGAAACAATTTTAACACTCATGCAAATTATCAGAAATATCGTCTGTTACACTGCACTGATCATCAAGAGTTCGTTACAAATGTCAGAAATACACACGCTTCAAAAGCTATCATATGGAACGCCACGACTGTCGTATCTTCATTTTCAGCATTATGTTGGGTAACATATCATATGTTGGGTTGACATGTCATTATGTTGGGTTGACAAGTCCTTATATTGAGGTAACATGTCATTATGTTGGGTGAACATGGAAAAGCATTTATCAATAAATATGTAATGTACATGCAAAATATTCTCTATCTATATCACGGAAGTAGATTACCTAAGTCCGTTTTTAATGTCACATCAAGCAGCTTTCTCATCCGCGTCTGTATTACTGCATAGGTAACATCGACACACTTGGTATTGTGGACGAATTTTCTATCAATGAATTCTCACCCATGTTATCCGATGTACATTCCCTGTTACACATTATGTCTGCATTTGTGTGATAAAAATAACATATATGATAATTTGAATACTGGGGTTACATAAAATACAAGTAAACCAAGAAAGTGAAATGATGACTTTTAATGTGTTTTTGTAGATTTTATAACTGAACAACGCCATTGTATCAATAACCTTGTTAAATAATTACGTAATCACACAAATGTTGACAATAGTGGTAATTCTATCAACTCTATCATTAATGATATATGTATGCATTTGGAACTAACCACGCTAAGCCAAATTCTGTAAATAAACATGTTTTTAAATTTTAAAAACCTTGGTTTACGAGAGACTGTTAGTCTGCTCGCCAAAATTATAGAAAAGTCAAACGGTTATAAAAAAAGTTTGGTAATGTTAACCTCAAAGAGAAAATGTATGTAAAGGAACGGTTATATAAAAACAACACTTAATCGTTGTGTCATCAAGCATAAGTTAGAGATTAAAAATAAACTCCGGACACTAAGGTCAAGAAATCCAAAAGAATACTGGAAAATAATTAATACAAGTAGTTCCAAAAAAAAGTACTTGTAAGGCTGGTATTGAAGATCTTTTTAACTTGTTTAATTCATGTTTTAACAAAAAAATGAAGGTCAGGATAATCATGTGTTTTCTATTGATGAGCTTACTGAGCTGTCAAAACTGGAAGCTAATACTTTTATAAATGAGCCAATACTGCCGAACGAAATAATGAAATGTGTTAAAATGTTAAAGAATAATAAGGCTGTTGGTAACGACATGCTATGTAACGAATATATTAAGTCAACCATTGATTTTTCAATTATATTTTTAACACTGGTCACGTGCCTGAAACCTGGCTCCTGGGAAACATCATCCCTGAACAATGGAAGTTTGTATGATGCCACTAACTATCGTCCAATTACTTTGGTTAGCTGTCTAGCTAAATTGTTTGTAGCTGAAATTAATGAACGATTAAGTAAATATGCAGATAATGTAGAACTCATTCTCGAAAATCAAGCAGGGTTTCGAAGAAATCACTCCACTATTGACCATATATTTTCACTTCATGCATTAATTGTGCCTTTATAGATTTTGAAAAAGCTTTTTGATAGTGTTTGGAGAAAAGGCCTTTGGAACAAACTTTTGGTTAATAATATAGATGGAAAATGTTTCCGAATTATTACAAATATGTACAATGACATTAAGGCTAGAGTGATGAAAGATGGTGAATGTATTCCCTTGTACTAATTGTCTTTAAACGTATGTTCCTATATGGAACGCAATAATATTAATGAACTTGTAAGTAACTCTTTTCCAAGCTTTCGGGCTTAGCCCTTCGTCAGGGATTAAATGTCACTGGACCTCTAAGTCACATCCATCTTGACAAACATGCTGAGTAACTAACCCCATAACCAACCCATCATTTCCATCCAGGTGAGCTAAAAGAGATCACGGCCTATGTTTATTACTGAGATGATGATGGGTGTTACCATTATTTAAGCACTCCTTAATTTGTATCAAGCTGATGATGAATATCCAAGCCAAATTGGTTATATATAGCAAACAATCATTCTGGGGCTGTCATATCCAACGTTGACCTGGACGGATTCTGGACCAAGACGACTGCCGGGGAACAGTTCCTGCTTTTTGATGAAGATGACTCGCGCATCATCAGTTTCGCTACTATGGACAACCTCTTCGACCTTGCCAATGCTGACAACCTCTACTGTGATGGAACTTTCTGCACATGCCCTAAACTCTTCTATCAGATATACACCATCCACGGACTGATTGACGGAAAGATGTACCCACTCATCTACTCACTACTATCAGGCAAGACCCAGCAGTTGTACACCCGGTTCCTGACACTACTGAAAACAACCATGACCGACCTCAACCTACCTCTCAACCCAACAACAGTGTGCGTTGACTTCGAGACTGCAGCACACAACGTTCTACGACAAGTGTGGCCTAACAGTGTAATATAAATTGATATGATTAATATGCAGTGACGGTTGTATGTTTAAAAATTGTAATATAATTGAAACGTAATCATTATGTATAAGTAGTGAAATACTCGATTGTGAACTCTTATGTAGTGCTGTTATATTCTATATTATCTGTTTAAAAGTGTTTATATTATATATAAAGATATTTGGAACCAAAAAATGTATTAAAACCTTATTTATACCCAACATATACAACAAAGCTACAAGTTACACAGGTAACTTTCACACAGGTAACTTTCACACAGGTAAGTTACCTGTGGGGAAAGTATGAAACAGACTATAATTGGAAAAGTGACACTGTCAATAAATGTACAAGTGATGGTACGACAAACAAGCGGACAAACAGAGGAACCAAAACATATACCAGTTCACTGCTCTTCATCTGCGCCCGAAAAATCTCCTCTCGGAATAAACAGACACACGAGAAACCGAAACCCATACAAGTCCACTATCCGTCATCAGTATGTAACAAACCGCGTGAACAGTTCAGTGGATTTAAACCGTGAATCGTCGTAAAGTCCAAAGATTCTATGTGCATGGTATCAATAAAGGCAACTTCGTCAGAGGAACTGATGCGACAATACCTCGAACGGAAAATATCAAAGTTACCTTTCTTCGATATTTCGAAAGAGACTACAAACGAACAGCATCGGCACAACTAAACGAGGAAGACGACGGTAACTGTTTGGTTGGAAACCGGTCCTTCTGGCCAGAAGGCATATATGTACGCTCGTGGCTACCTCGCGAAGTGTTCCTAACTGAGAACGGGCGCGGCTGAAAAACTTAACATTATGTGTTGGAACATTGAGGGGATAATGGCTGGCACGCCATATCTTCTTAATTGTCTCAACACACATAACATTGATATATGTGGTGTCTCCGAGCACTGGTTGAGAGAATTTAATATGTCATTTTTTGATACTTTCAAAGGTGGTGGTTACTCATACATAGCAAAACCAGTCTATGAAATTGACCCACTCCGTTATAGATGTAGTATTAGAGGTGGTGTTGGTATTTTGTACAAAGACAAATCGCTATTAGTTCAAGAAATCCCTGTGGATAGCCCGATAGTTATTGGAAGTGAGATTCAAACTCGGAATGGGGAGCATATATATTGTTTTTTGGCCTACATGACGGCCTCCTCGAGACCAATTGAAATTTTCACCGACCATAAAAGTCTGTTAGAATCGCTTGTCTCTGTTTATTCGGAACGAGGACCAGTAATAATTATAGGTGATTTAAATGTTAAAATTAAGGGTCCTCGGTACCAATTTAAAGATGACAAGAAATCCACAATTTTCCTGTTATTTTTGGACAGAATGAACCTACTGTCTGCCAATGTACAATCAGATTGCAAGGGACCTGTTTATACATTTTTGCCCCAGACCAGTAACTGTACATTTATTGACCATGTTCTTGTCCAATCAAATAAGATTGACCTTTTGGATTCATGTGAAGTATTAGATGACGAAGCTATAAATATGTCTGAGCACAGCCCTTTTGTATGTTCTATAAAAGTCTCACCGCTGTCATCTCAGTGTAATACATCTTACTTTGTAAAATACAACTGGAAAAGAGCCATGTTTCACGGTAATATTAATAATTATAAGCTGGAGTTGGAAAATAACCTAAAATCAATAGAATTACCTCACGGACAAATGTCTAACGAAGGTATAGATCAATTTAACACAGATATTGTTTCTGCTATATTACAATCCTCTAATACTACCTTACCTAAAGTACAAAAGTTATTTAAAACTTTATTGGTCTAACGAGTTGTCAGAAATACACAGTATAGTGCAAATTAAAAGACAAATATGGATAAGTGAAGGGAAACCTAGAAATGTATCTAATAGTTTTCTGGGGTATAAAGAAAGCAAAACTTCTTTCAGAAAAAACCTACGTGATGCATTCAATAAGTATATGTCTGAACAATTTAATGAAATAGAAAAATGCAGTGAACTTGATCAGAATTTATTCTGGCAGTTATACAAAGGAAAATCATGTAAAAACAAAACACCTCAAACCGAAATGAAATACAACAATGTAATTTTACGAGACCCCAAAAACATTGTCGAAGCGTGGGCGTCACATTTTTAAAATCTGTTCCAATATAAACCGAATGAAGAATTTGACAATACGTTCCAAAGAGAAATTATAAACCTTGTTAATGAAATTGGAAAACAAGCTCATAATGAGGAAGACATATACCTGAATGAATGCATTACCACCTCAGAAATTGCCTTGGTGTCTAGGGGTCTCAAATCTAAAAAAAAGCAGGAGGATGGGACGGTATAGTATATGAGCATATTAAACACGGTGGAACAACACTTTTTAAATATATCGCCACCTTATTTAATAATGTTATAAAAAATGAATATATTCCAAATGGCTGGAAAAAAGGTATTATAACTTTGTATAAAGGTCAAGGTAAAAAGAAACAAGACCCCAATAGCTACAGGGGGATTACATTATTACCTGTATTATTTAAAATGTTTGAAATGGTTTTATCACAAAGAATTCAACGAGTTTTAAATTCCCGTGTATTTCCAAATATACAACAGTCTGCTTATCAAAAGCATTTGTGTAGTTTATGCACATCATTCAGTCTTCAAGAATGCATTAGTCATAATATTGAATACGGTTCCAACGTCCACGTTGTTTTCTTAGAGAGTAACAAAGCGTTTGACACTGTGTGGCACGCTGGTTTATCGTACAAAATCTATGAATTGGGTCTAAACGCCAAGACGTGGATTTTGCTAAAATGCATGTATACAAATGTTGAAAGTTGTGTTTTATTTAATGGGTTAAAGTCCTCCATGCTCAAAATGGAACGTGGAATATTACAAGGAGGGGCGTTGTCTGCCAAAATGTATTTAGTATTTATTAACGATTTATTAAATGAAATAGAGAATTTTGGTTTAGGTGCAGTAATTGTTCATTTAAATGTTAATGTTCCTACACAGGCAGATGACATTTGTCTGGTGAGTACGAGTCTTAAAAGTCTTCAGAAAATGATATCAATATGTGTTTCATTATCAGCTGTAAAAAGCAAAATTGTAACTTTCACAAACCCAAGTAGTAGAACTTGTACTATGTATAAAGATCTTTATCTCTACAATTATATTATGCCACAGACTGACGGCATTACACATGTTGGTATTTTATTAAACTCTAAAAAGAACTCTTTTGAGAGAACAACACTTGCATGTAATAAGTTAAGATCGGGTACGATGTCCCTTGTTCGTTCCGGTGCACATCCTTGTGCTCTCAACCCTTTAACAGTAGCGAAGCTTATCAAAATAAAGTTTATCCATCCGCCTTATCCGGGTGCCAGCTTTGGCAATTAACAAAAACCGAAATAATAATGTTAGAAAGAGCACAACATTTTATTGTTAAACGTATTCAAGGGTTTGAAAAAGAACCAGAACAGACATGTGTACATCCTTACTTGGTTGAACCTCTATTGAGGCATATATAGACATTAGAAAATTCATATTCTTGGGAAGATTGTGTAGAATGAAACCAATGTCTCTTGTTTATAAAGTTTTTATTACAAGACTCTTTTTGTTTCGACCAGGAAAACCGTACCAGAACGGATTCATCCCCGACAGAGTCAAAATATTAAAAAAGTATTCGTTGCATCAAAATCTAGATAATTTTGTTGAAACTGGAATCTTTCGAAAGAAAAGTTATTGGAAAACCACAGCATACAATTCTGTAATGAAATATGAGGGACACAATCTAAGGGAACGTATGAAAGTTGATAATGATTTTACAAGGTTTCGAGAAATACATAACCAACTCAAACCTAATACTTTATGGAAGCTAGCGCTTCGATGTCCTCAATACAGAGAATATATTCAATATATAATGACTATAGTTGTAACCATCCGTAGCTTGACTACCATGGAATTATGTCATAAATGTAGGTTTTTATATCAAGACCCAATGACACATCTAGTGCTACAGTGTACTTATACTTCAGAGTTGGGGGACCAACTATGGTGCTGTATAATTAATATCAAGGATATACTGTTTTGTGTCTATTTACACTCTCTCCCAGATCTTGAGATATTACACATAATGGTTGGAGGAAATGTAACCTACAAAATTATTGAGGAAGAGTTGAATGATTTCAGGATAAAATCCATCATTTATGTGTACCAGATGTGTAAACTATATTATACTTAATGTATATAATAGTTATGATTAAAAGTTAAATACATACATATCTAATGTAGAATTTTCTATAAGTTATGTGCACTTAGCAAAGGATATCACATGAGATACTATATGAACTATACTACAGATTAAGATGCATGGGAGTATACATATGTGGGCTCGTAACACCTCGCAGGTAGGGATATCCCCCACCCTTATGTGATCCAGAACCACAAATGTATCATCTGCGATTATAGTTAGTATGTTACAATAAATGTCTTTATTGCATGTATTAACAAATACAACGATACAATGATTTATATAATTAGTCATGTATAAGTATTACGTACCACTTATCAATACAATTTATTATAATTTACTTGGCTTGTGCAAATCAATTTGCAATCTGTATATTGAAACGTTTTAGGTTTACTCTAAAATATTTTATGATTTTTCACCTTATATACACATCCCTATATATAAAGTGCATATTTATGTAATGCATATTATGTATTCGTGTATATATGTACCAAATACTTTGTATATATGTACCAAATACTTTGTATATATGTTCCACATTACTTTGTAATCTTCATCTTTGCAGGCAATAAAGAGAATAATAATACTTGGTTTGCCATTGTCTTCCTAAATCAACACTTTCCTTTGTTTTATAAAAAGTGGGAGAAACGAGAACACCCCTTAATAAACAATGTATGGTAAAGGTTTAAAAACAATGTATGGTGCTAATTCCAAATGTAGGGATCATAATTTGTCAATAGATTGTCAACTTGATGTATTTGACAAAGCCATCAAACCTATTGTTTTATATTGATGTGAAGTTTGAGGTTTCTGTAACTATAAACTTATCGAACGTTTACATTTAAAATTTTGCAAACACATACTTAATGTTAAAACGTCTACACCGAACTTTATGATATACGGAGAACTTGTCAAA